CTCACGCGCAGCTCAGTCCCCGAAGGCTCGATTCCCTCACGTCGTAAAATCCACCCCGAGAAAGAGCGGCGCCAACAGCGGCGGAAGAGAAACAAGGGCGCCCCGCCCCTCTGGTGGGAGGAGGCGTGGCCAGGACTTCCGGTGGCGTTCGCACAAGCACCACAGATAGGAAAGAGGTGGAGACGCCGGGGGAGCGGCGTCCACTGCGCCTGCGCCCCAGAGGCTGGCGAGCGCGCCCGTCCATGAGCGCGTTTCGGCTTTTAGGTTGTCTCTCCGGGCGCTATTCTCTCTTGTCTAATTTTTCTCCCCTCTTTGGTTTGCCTGCCCAGCGTTCTCTCTTCTTCGCCGTCTCCTTGCCTGCTCATTCTTTTCTCCTTCCCCTCCTTGTGTCCGCCACCTGCTATTTTTAAACCCTTCACTTTTTTTTTTCTTGCAGTGCTTTCTTTCGTGTGCTGTAGTGCAAAAGCGGTAGTATGGAAGAAAAAAAAATTGAAAAGCAGAAGAGGCCACACCAGCAGATACAGCACCTTCTTCTCTGCTTCCTCCCCAACTCTCTTCCCTTCACCATTCCTAGATCTTCAGGGTTTTGCCCCGAATTTCTAATTTTAATTTTTAAAATGGTTTTTAGTTTTCACTTCTGTGCTATGAAACTATTTTTGGAGGGGGGGAAAATCGGAAAAAAAAAGAAGCAGGAATAAGTGGTACCTCCTCCGTCCTCTCCGCAGCAATTTTACTTTCTCTTCCCTTATTTACCTGTTCTTAGAACTTCAGATTTTTACCCCATGCAGTCTGTTGACAAAACATTTAAATTTTCGTTTTTACATGTTTAGTTTTCATGTTTGTGGTATGATGTAAAAATGATAACATTAAATTTAAAAAAGCACAGAATGCTCGAAAGCTGGTTATCTCAAGAAAACTACACAGCACCGTCAGTAAAGAATTGGGTGGGTGGGGGAAGCAGGCAGGAGACAGACCTGCAGAAGCATGCCCATACGGAAGGATGATCAATGAATGGCACGTTCCCACAAACTGCATGGAGCAGCATTTGCTTTGGCCCGGTTTGCCTACTGAAACCAGCTTCATCCTTGTACCTGTGAGCAGTGGGATGCAGCACCCGTAGAATGGGTACAAGGAAAGTAGTTGGACAGATCGTATAGTTGAGGCTGGTGCAGTTCTTGTATAACATAGGAGCCAAGTAAAGGTTTGTATGGCCTCATCTGAGCCTTCTCGGCTCTTGGGGTCTTCTGGGGAAACCCTTCTCTTGTTTCCACCACCTTCCCAAGTGTGCTTGGAGAGGGCACAAGAGAAGGCCTGCCTTCGGCTCTTGGTCTGGGGAAACCCTTCTCTTGTTTCCACCACCTTCCCAAGTGTGCTTGGAGAGGGCACAAGAGAAGGCCTGCCTTCTCAGTAGCTGCTCCCAGGCTTTGAAATGTGCCGGCCCGCACATACGCGTGTGCACACAGACACAGACATACAGACAGAGCCAGGTTGGCCCCTTCCATCACCAAGCAGAGGCAACCTTCTTCAAGCAGGCCTTTAAGCAACAAGTTATCTTAGGAACACTGGTTTTTTTTTTAACTTAGAGGTTTTAAATGTTTTAAAATTGTTTTTATACCTAATTGTTTTCATCTTACTGTATGCTTATAATTGTTTTTTAAAATTGTGATATTTATATAGTGTTTAAAAATTTCTTATTTTACCTGTTGTGGTCTGCCTTGAGGAGAAAGGCAGCATATAATTTAAATAAAATAAAGTATAATAAATAAATAATCAGTTTTTAAATCCCATACTTGCAGTCTTACCTGCATTGTTTTTAAAGGTACATTGTGGAATTCAATTCAGAGGCAGCAGTTCTAGGGATTAGTTCAGTCAAGATTTCACAATTTACCTTTGAGCACATATTATTGTCAGATACTATCGGGGGACATCAACATGTCTTCAGACGGCTGCTAAGCCTTGCACAGACTTCCTGTGAGAGACTTACAGACTTGTTTGTTTCCATACAACTGGCAAGGATTGTATTTGTAGCCTCAAGATTTTTGCATCCTTTCTTATAGTAATCCAACTCTTTCCTCTTAAAAGACCAAAAAATGAATCTTCTTTCCCAAAATTTATGTATTTAGCAAGCATGTATATAAAAGCTCAACGATGCAGGCATATATTGATATAAAATATAAGATGAATGCATATGTATTCCAAAATCTACAATCTTTCACAAAATTTCAGTTTATCTATGTAAGCAGTATTTTTAATCCAAAGAGGAAAATGGTTTGATTTATTCAACTAGTTTCTTTTATACTATAGTTTAGAACTCAATATTTTCAATAGATACAATTCCAAGACTATATTCTTAATGTAAAAAAAAAAAGATGTGTAAATTATCAGAGGGGACTTATTTCCAGGTTGCTGTTTGTATTGTTGGGGCAGCAAAGGATGTTCTGTTGCAAGGCTTTTCCTTTGCTTGCAGCAAAGGAAGGGCCCCTGCCTGAAAGGCTGGAGAGCTGCTGCCAGTTAGCCTTGACCATCCTAAGCTCGATGG